CAGGTTGACATTGGTTCAAGAAAGATCCTGCAAGTATCCAAGTGCCAATCCATAAAGAGCTTTACAGTTGAAAGCAATGCGTCTGGAAACTTATTGGAACTAGTACAAGATTCATAAAGTTGGCATTCATAGTGCTGAGCATCAATCAGCAAACAGGAAGCTGTAGTTTGCACCTATATCAGTTAGGTGATTTCCAAAGGCAATCCATGTAGACTGCATTGTGGTGATAAGGATGTGTGTCACTGTGTTGAGTTTCTTCAATTCCTTTTAGCTATAAGTAGCGCAGCAGCTAAAAAAAAAAGCTATCTTGTCTTCATATATGAATCCAGCAGTATTCATGAGTCCAGGAAGAGCTTTTCTTCTAGTTTTTCCGTTCCATTGTTGACCCCCATACAAGCTGAAATGGCCAAAGGGCCAGGAATGTACTTTGTCCTGTCAAACTATTTCTGTCTCTGGAAAAATGGAACTTTTTCCAATCAATATCTGATCAATTTTGTGTGCTAATAGTTTCCTTTCAATTCAGCCTTCTATAGTATTCTGCAGTATCTCAACTGCTAACCTCTTTCTTCAGTATATCCGTAACTACGGCTTCCACTTACTATCTCACTTTACTTCTCCTGTCTCTTAGGGTATAAATGATAAATCCCCACAATCAAAACTATCAAGTCTAACCCATTCAATAGTAGCATATTATACCCAACTATTTATACCACTCCTGATCCACAAGAAAATATGTATTCCTTGTAGAGGGTTCATTAAACCCTCTACAAGGGGGTTCTTAGGAGTAGTTGGAAAAAACTTGAATCCGAAGAAGGCACTGGAATAGACTGTTTCAAGCTGGTGTAATAATTTGTTCCCTGCAGAAACTGATTCAAGATAGTTCAAGTTCCAGAATCTGATTCAAGTTCCAGAATCTAACATGGTTCAGGATAGGATTCAACACATTTTGCTATTTTTAGGACTTTTAAAAGAATCCTGATTTTGTTTTAGGGGGGGAGTTGCTTGAGAAAGTCACACTTGGTGTCTTGTTTTTACTGCACATTTGTGACTAGAGTATTTATAGTAAGTTAAGCTTTCTAAATGGCATTGCTTAACTTGTGCATGAAATCGAATCATGTTTAAAGCAATCCTTCACAAAACCACTGTGTTGTTGTAGTGTTTGCTAAGCTTTACAAACCAGCATTCACAATGAACATTGAGCTTCTAACAATGAAGAGGGCACTCTAGTATGGGACGACTTAAAGCTTTATATGAGGAATCCATGCTAAGCTGCCTATACTCATTAAAAGATGCAGGTCCTCAGGGACATGAAATAATATTTCACTCTGGGAATACTTAAGCATCATCCATCCATCTTTGTCACTGTTGAAAATCCAGGCTGATGACTAATGACAAACTACTTGCTCCAAAGCAGAAAAAGGTGCCAATGTACTGAGTAAATCATCTGTCATTCTGCTATTAGCAAGGTAGTCCAAAGATGTCAGGTGTGACATATTCTATCAAACCACTGATGGTTTGGATGAGTGTTCTGCAGCATGGTAGAGAACTCTGTCTTTTGTCACTTCTCTTAGTTCTTACCTCATGATCTCCCTCTGTAGCATTTTCAATCAGGATGTGGTAATCTTCCTGTATCACTAATACAGGGAGGAATACTGAGCGTTCAGTAGCAGGAACTCTTATCTGACGGGTTGGAGAGAATGTAACTGGTTCTGAGTGAATGATAGAAATGTGTGTCTTTGGGCAGTCAAGTTCAGGTCCAGTGATAGCAGTAATTTCTTGGGGTGATATTTGTTGTTCACACCTGAATGCTGATTTGGTGAAACTGCCTGCTGTTTTTAAAATGGGCAGCCTGTTCCTTAATACTCTTTCAGAGAGAACTACTAGCTAGCCGTCTTCAGTTGGCTGAAGGAGATCAGTGAATGATGTCCCTGAGATACCATTATCTGAATCCCATTTAACTACTTAGTGACTCCTTTGAGATGCCTAAGCATTGCCTTATATCCTGGGAAGAGCCATTAGACATTTGTGTAATTTCTCCGTCCCCCATGAAAAGTAGCAGAATAACAGAATTGGAAGGGACCTTGATGGTCTTCTAGTCCAACCCCCTGCCCAAGCAGGAGACTCTGCCATTCCAGACAAATGACTGTCCAATCTCTTCTTAAAAACTTCCAGTGATGGAGCACCCACAACTTCTTAAGGCAAGCTGTTTTGAAGGCAAGCGATGCCTGTAAGATATTCCAATGGAGGAGAGTCTTTCTTGCAATTAGACACCAAGATAGTTGATGGATTAAGTACAAGAAGAACCTGCATACTTACCAACTTTATCATCTTTAGATACTGCAGCTTCTTTAGCCATCCCTCCTCCCCCCAATTCCCAATTATAAAACTATGCAGCAAGTTAAACCTGAAAAGTTCATGACTGATAAGAAGGAATAAAGACACAGAATTACTGAATTAAATAGAGCCGCTTATTTTTCATTCAATGAAATGATTTTTTTTTTATTTAGTTAAATATAAACATATATTTCTATTTGGAGACATATGTCAAACTAGTTTGACATAAAAATTGTCTTAAAGGCACCAATTCTGTTTGGAGATCTACTCTAGAATTAACCTACATTTAAGATTATTGAATGTTTATATTACAGGGCTGTAATTATGAAAAGATTTAGATGTTTTTAAAATGTAAATACCATCCATTTTGCTAAGTGAATGGAACTGTGGGATTAAGTCAACACTATGCCAAGAATCCCTTTAAAGTATATGTTGCTGTTTAAAAATAAATTGAAGCAGATGGGCAGCCGTGTCATTATTAATGGTCAAAACAGGCAAAATGACACACACATGCAAAGAGACAGGTTGTTAATTATGACACCATTTTGCTTCTTGCCTGTTTTGATGCACACACATACTATCAGGAGACCATTGCTGCAAGTAGTTGCCGGTTCAGGGCGTAAGTAGAGTGTGAATTGAATGCATATAAGTGATATGTGAAGTGGGTATATGGGAATGGAAAGCTTGATCTGTAAAACCCTCAGTGGTTAGAGAAGGCAGAAGAAATAATGGGATTACAGAGGAAGGATATTAAATTTAGAGGAGGACTATGGAATGGCATTTCATGTTTTATGGAAAAAGTTAATCTTAAATGTTGAGGTTGGTTTGCCCCCAATTGTGGGGTAAATCTCCCTGAAGGTGGATTAAAGTTATTTGGAAGACATGTAACAGTTCTCACTTAGCTGCAACTCATCTTTTTTCACTACATCCCACACATTCACTAATTATTTAAAAATTGCTTACATCTTTATAGCATTGTCAATGTATATTGCAAAAATTAGTACAGATTTTAATTTATCTAAAGCTTTACAGAAAGAACGAGACAGAAATTAAAATAGGAAAATAAATATATGAAAAACTATTAAAAAATATAGCTATGAAATGTAATAGAATAAAAGAACATAAAACAAAAGGGGGAAATCATTTTTATAAGTGGCATATTAAACATCAAATTTCAACAATTGACCAAATTAAACTGAAGAACTTTTTAACAAAAATCAATGATTCTCCAATATTTCAAAATATATATAATGCACTTATGTGTGTCAAGTGTCTGAAGTGGCTGGCTCAACACAAATAAACCTCCCAGTTAGAAAAATATTTAACAACTTACATGCGTCAACATCCCAGATCAGCTTTTTCAAGAGCTTGCTTTGAACAACTGGACTCCATGGTAAGATATGGGAGGTTTAATGGAGTTTCAGTTGAAGAAAGACTGTGTATTTGTGGAGCATCAGCCACAGAAGACATAGGACACCTTGTTGACGGCAAATTATATTCTCCAGAAAAGGCTGCTTACGTAGACCCTTATTTAAAAACTAAAAAATATTTTTAAAAGACTAAAAAAGAGTTCCCTATTGCAGGGAACGAACCTGCATATAATGAGTAAGACTGCACTCTTCATTTCAAAAGCCATCTCAAAGAGGACAGAATACCAGTACTTAGATCAGATTGGGCTTTACTATAGGAGTAACTATTATCAATATTTTTTGTATCTATCTGCATTTTTGAATATATTTTACAGTCAATTGTCTTAATAAACTTCTCTTTTCTTCATTTTTGATTAGTGATAAACTTGCCATTTCAAAAACGATGACTTCACAGATCTCTTGAATTCAATCCTTAATATATCAGGAATATTACTACTTTTCCAATGCTTTTTTTTAGCAACACTCAGGCCAATGCAACCATAATAAATAAATAAATAAATAAATAAATAAATAAATAAATAAATAAATAAATAAATAAATAAATAACTAACTCCTCAACAATAATCAAATTCCAAAATTTGAAGACATAATTTATCTTAATATGAATATCTTTAGATTTAAAACAATGTCAAAAACTATATGCATATCCATAATTGTTAATAAATAGTATTACTGTATATCATTGATTCCTGCATATCCATAATTATTTAACAATACACCAATAAACTGAACCCCCTCCTCACAGACACAGTGATACTATTTTCCGTTTTCTAAAAGATTTTCTGCTTATTTAGTTCTTGTGTTAAAAGGTGCATGGTTGTTCAAAAAGTAGTTTAACTTATGGAACGCAGATTCTTTTGGTGTCTTTGAAACAGTATAAGCTTAATCTTTGATGCACTTTTTATACTAGCTCAATTAAGACAGATCTCAGATAAATCCATCAAATGTTAATTTGATGTGAAACCTAGGTTAATAAATATAGTATACTCTTAAGCTTCCAACTATATCTGTATGTAATGTAATTTATTAGCTAAATGATTTGCTTTGTTGCTGTTTTTTATTTATATTTGCGTGTTTGCTTTTTTCTATCCACTTTTTCCTCTTTTGACATGAACTTAATAGCATTCAAAAGCTAAGTAATATGGGAACTAGGAACTAATGGCATGCTTAATGTAGTTTGAAGTCAGGTTAATGTTTATATTTAATGTGAAACTCGAATGGTTGCTTTAACTATAGGTTAACTTCTGACCCTGGTTTAAAGATTGAAGAAAATCATCTTGGTGCAACTGAAGATATATCCAAGCACAAGAAGAAAACCAAAAAGAATGTTTATCCCATAACATATGTATCTTCCAAGCAAAACCTTGAAAATCAATGCACTCAACAATGAATGTTTTTGTCACTTTTGCGGGTCCTTTCAAATGTATGTGAAATAGCCTGCCCTAATCTGCAAGGTTCCAGATATGTGGAATCATTATCTGGTCAGTATGACCAATAGTTGTATTGACTTGGCATGATAAAAGTTCTAGACCAATTCGTCTAGAGAGTTCCAGATTGGGCAAAACGGGTTGCAGAATAAGTGATTTTGTTCAGTGCTTTTTAATAATATCATCTGAACATAATACCTGAAAAGTTTGAAATTGGTACTTCAGTTGTTAATCTCGTGTAATATATTTTGAAAACTGCAACAACAAAAAAATAAGTATGCCACTTACCAGCAGTATATTCATACTAGCATTTAATCCACTCTTTTTATGTGAATCCCAAGTGAACAGGTAAGACTAGATATAAATAAATGGATGTAATATATGGTAATGAGACTGTAACATAGTACTATTTTTGCTCTACTTGTATGTATGTATTAATTAAATAAATTTTTCAAATGGTTATTCATTTGTAATAAATATTAAATAAAACTTCAGAGTTGTATGCATTACATTTTTCTGATGGCTTCTCCCTTAGCAAAATTGTAGTTTCCTACTAAAAAGAGAATCCATATACCTTTATGTCAAATTGAAACATGTTTAATTTTATAACTATTTGAGCTGTATAATTATTTGAAGAAATGATTCATTTTGAATTAAAGTTGGTTGATGCTGTAAAATCACAGTGGAGTTCCTGCCTTGCCTTATGCAGATAAGATGCAAGGGCTGAGCCTGGCAGGGCAAGAAGCAACATGTTGCCAGGCTACAAAGAACTACATAAACAAAACCTAGATGTCTCTTGAGGGCATCAAAAAAACTAGCTAAGCATCTGTTAACTTGGAAGGATAGAGAAAGGGGAAAAGCCTAGAGATTTTAACTTAGTTGTCTCAGATAAACTTAATGTCAAGTGCTGATTAAGGAACTGGGTATCTTTGGAGCTATGGAAAGAGCTGTGATTTCTTTCTCATTATTTGTATGGTTTTTGTATACACCATATTTGGTTTATACCAAATTGAGATAGCCAATCCAGGTGGAACAGACATACACCTGAATTTTACGGAAGTAAAATGCATCATATCTGCAAGGCAAAGGTACTCCATAATGAGGGTAGAGTGTAATCAGGAATATTCATGCAATTTCCCTAATGTGTGACTTCACCATCTGGACTTTTTGACATTCCCTACCCCAGGTATTGTAATGCAATAACAGTATTAATCACTAGGACCAAGAAATTTAGCTATTTAGTAAAGAGCTTCTGTGGGTTTATATCTTCTCCTTCCTTAAAACAGTTATCTCCAAAGTGAGGTGCACACACCTGAAAAGCTTTGCAAGGCAATCGATTGGAGTACGGGAAGCAAGTACAGACAGTGTTCAGTTAACGAGCACTTGATCAGTGACCATTCAAAATTACGCTGATGCTTAGCAATCGTATTTATGAACATCTCTGAAGTTCCAAACATACCAGCAGCCCTGTGGTCACATGATCACAATCTAGATATCTAGATTGTGATCATCACAATCTATATTTAAGACAATTGCAGTGTCCACATCACATTATCACCATTTGCAATCTTCCCTGTGGGCATTCCACAAGGTAAGTCAATGCAGAAGCAATAGGGAAGCTCTCAAGTTGCTCTGGTAAGTCACTCGCACTCCAGCAGCTTTTCTTTCTGAGGTGTCTCAGCATCCCAGCACTCCCTCCCATGGCACCCCCTTGCACGCCATTCCCTACATAGCACCAGCCACCCTGGATGCACTGTGCTTGTGTCATGCCCTGTCTGCCACTTAATATACCCTCCCGCATCCAACTGCACTTGTGACCTGCTTATACAGCCCTCATGCATCCAGCAATAGATGGCTGTGTGAGCTTTGGCCTCCTGTGTAATTGTCAGCCTGCTGCACCAGAGTCATACCCTGATAACTAATTGCACACCATGGGACATCAGGCATCAACCAGCCCTGTCACAATAGCCATCCATGCACGTGTCACACGAGCGCAATGGTTGGAATGCAGTAGTGCAAGTTACTTCTGAGTGCTGGCTCCCTGCAGTTTGATTCTTACCTGCTGAAGGTTATTTCGGCCATCCTTCCAAGGTCGGTAAAATGAGGACCCAGATTGTTGGGGCAATATGTTGACTCTAAACCGCTTTAAAAAACTGTGAAGCTGCATATACAGTAAGTCTAAGTGCTATTGCTATTCTAAGCAATTTAACCTATAATGTCAGTTCATGCATTATCCAAAACCATGTCTTAGCATGTTGTAAGACACTTTCTTTTGCTATTTATCAAAAGAATCTTAATTTCCTGTTAATGACATTAACAGGAAGAATAGCTACTATAAAAGTGAATATCTTACCAAGACTATTATATCTATTCCAAACAATACCAATACAACTGAAGAAACAATGTTTTGAAGAATTAAATAAAATGATATCAAGATACATTTGGTTAGGGAAAAAAGCAAGAATAGGCTTGAAAATGTTGCAGGAAGCCAAAAAAAGAGGGGGCTTTGGGCTACCAGGCAGGCCTCGGTACTCACATGGGTGAAAGAATGGATGAGCCTGAGACATACAAGATTATTAGCCTTAGAAGGTAACAACCTCCAACTAGGTTGGCACGCTTTCTTATGGTATGGGAAGAATAAGATACATAGTTATTTTCAAAGACACTATGTTAGGAATGCATTGTTATTAGTTTGGTTTAAAATAAAAGAACAACACTATTTGAAAATACCAGTCTGGCTTTTCACTATGGAAGCATTGGTAATATTATTAACATGGAAAAAACTCTAAGTTGCTAAGATATTTTGAATGAAAAAGGGGAATTAAAAACCAAGCAGGAACTTAGTAATCAAGGGATAGACATTGCATGGTGACCACACATGAAGATACAATCTTGCTACGAGAAAGATGCTAAAACGTAGATGCTAACAAAGAGTTAACAGAACTAGACCAGATATTAACTGGATCAGATGAAAAACTGATAAATTATATTGGTATTTATTTCAGTATTAAACTTGAAAGTGAGCAGGTAAAGGAGACAATGATTGCTTGGGCTAAAAACTTTGGACATGCAGTAGAATTAGATAAATGGGATAGAAATATTAAATTGACTATGTCAACTGCATATAAAGAAAATTTGTATAAAATGTTTTATAGATGGCATTTTGCACCGGCAAGACTGGCAAAAATGCATAAAGATAGATCCGCTAAATGCTGGAAGTGTAATCTGGTTCATATTACCATATGTGGTGGACATGCCCAAAAGCTAAAAAATATTGGACGAAAATACATACTTGGTTGGAAAAAATGATAAAGCAGCATATACAGGTGAAACTCAAAAAAATAGAATATCGTGCAAAAGTTCATTTATTTCAGTAATGCAACTTAAAAGGTGAAACTAATATAGAGATAGACTCATTACATGCAAAGCGAGATAGTTCAAGCCTTGAATTGTCATACTTTTGATGATTATGGCTTACAGCTCATGAAAACCCCAAATTCACAGTCTCAGAAAATTAGAATATTACATGAAATCAATAAAACAAGGATTGTACATAGAACAATATAGGACCTCTGAAAAGTATAAGCATGGATCTGTACTCAGTACTTGGTTTGGGCCCCTTTTGCATCAATTACTGCCTCAGTGCGGCATGGCATGGATGCTATCAACCTGTGGCACTGCTGATGTGTTATGGAAGACCAGGATGGTTCAATAGTGGCCTTCAGCTCTTCTGCATTGTTCGTCTCATGTCTCTCATCTTTCTCTTGGCAATGCCCCACATAGGGCCTGAACCTGAACCTCTATGGGGTTCAGGTCAGGCGAGTTTGCTGGCCAATCAAGCACAGTAATCCCATGGTCATTGAACCAGGTTTGGTACTTTTGGCAGTGTGGGCAGGTGCCAAGTCCTGCTGGAAAATGAAGTCAGCATCCCCATAAAGCTCGTCTGCAGAAGGAAGCATGAAGTGCTCCAAAATCTCTGGTAGACGTCTGCGTTGACCCTGGATTTAATGAAGCACAGTGGACCAACACCAGCAGATGAAATGGCTCCCCAAATCAACACAGACTGGAAACTTCACACTGGACTTCAAGCATCTTGCAGTGTGTGCCTCTCCATTCTTCCTCCAGACTCTGGGTCCTTGGTTTCCAAATGAGATGCAAAAGTTGCTCTCATCAGAAAAGAGGACTTTGGACCACTGAGCAACAGACCAGTTTTTTTTTCTTTAGCCCAAGTAAGATGCTTCTGATGTTGTTTGTTGTTCAGGAGTGGCTTGACAGGAGGAATACGACATTTTAAGCCCATGTCCAGGATCTGTCTGTGTGTGGTGGCTCTTGATGCACTGACTCCAGCCTCAGTCCACTCCTTGTGAAAGTCCCCAACCCTTTTGAATGGCCTTTTCCTGACAATCCTTTTCAGGCTGCGGTCATCCCTGCTGCTTGTGCACCTTTTTCTTCCACACTTTTCCCTTCCACATAACTTTCTATTAATGTGCTTTGATACAGCACTTTGGGAACATCCAACTTCTCTTGCAATTACCTTTTGAGGTTTTCCCTTCTTATCGAGGGTGCCTTTCTGCACAACTGTCAGGTCAGCAGTCTTTCCCATGATTGTGATTCCTACTGAACCAGACTGAGAGACCATTTAAAGGCTCAGGAATCCTTTGCAGGTGTTATTGCTTAATTAGCTGATTAGAGTGGGACACTTTGAGCCTAGAATATTGAACCTTTTCACAATATTCTAATTTTCTGAGATTGTGAATTTGGGGTTTTCATGAGCTGTAAGCCATAATCATCAAAAGTATGACAAATCAAGGCTTGAACTATCTCGCTTTGCATTTAATGAGTCTATCTCATATATTAATTTCACCTTTTAAGTTATATTACTGAAATAAATGAACTTTTGCACGATATTCTAATTTTTCGAGTTTCACCTGTAGACTTGAAACCAGAGACATCTTTGTTGGACATCCTACCGGAAAAGTATGATAAAAGTGAATATGTTTTTGATATCGGACGTATTTTATCAATGGCTATACAATAGAAACAGAAGTTAGAAAAGAGGAGACATAATAAGAGGAAGTTAAAGTTGAGAGTTGTTAAAGAAGATAATATTAATTATTACTGCTATTATTATATTATCAATACTATTGTGAAGAGTACTATAACAAATATGTGGATTATGACTGCTTAAAACAACTATACCCAGATCACACACTGTTTGATGGAAATTGATTTTTTATGTGTTATAAATATAAAATAAATAAATAAATAAAAATAATCTTAATTTCAGGGTAGCTGCATTTATATGAATCCAGTTTGATTGTGGCCACACAGCTTCTCCTTAGTTGTGCTCTTTAATTACAAAAACTCTGTTTCTGAGGGAAGGTATTTGTGCTGTATTCCATAATACCTATTGATTATGTTGGTTCAGGTATGTTGGTAGAAAATTAAGTCACTATGGCAACCACTTACAGTAAAACAATCCATGCAGAA